TTCCTCAGATTTTCACCACTATGTTTATTGTTCTCTATTCTGTCAATAAAACTTTTGTTCAGTTTCTGTTGGTATCAAGGTTAATCGTTGCGGTTTACTTGTCTGAATCATTTGTTGAGACAGGGCTTAGGAACCTGACAATCAGGCCTCATGTGATCGTGAAATAAACAGAAGTGACTATGAATATTATTAGGAGGGATTGGAGAGTAGAGCATGATGCAGAGCATTTCCAGCATTCTAGAGAGCTCCCTCATGCCACTTTCCTGTCAATACACCTGCTATGCAGTCTTCCACTGTATGACTAAACTACAGCTTGTTTATCCATTCTACTGCTCCTGGGTATTTGAATTGTTCCATTTGGGGCCTGTTATAAATAAAGCGGCTACGAGCATTTTTGTGTAAGTCTTTGGCTGGACAGAGCTTTCATTGCTGTTTGGTATATACTTAGGGACAGAATTGCTGTATCGTAAAGTAAATGTTTGTTTAGCTTTTTATGGAAAAAAACGCTAAGTGCCAACATGTTTTCAAATTGATTGTAGCAATGTATCGTCCTACCAGCAACATGAAGGAATTCTGTTTGTTCACCAACACTTAGTATTGTTAGTCTTTTAAATAGTGAGCCATTATGGTGAGTTTGTAATGGTATCTCACTGAAGATTTAGTTTGCGTGAGTAATAATATTGAGCACGATTTCATATGTTCACTGGCCATTTTTATATTCTTTTTTGTAAATTGTCTCTTCAAGTCTTTTTTTTATCATTTTGATCAGATTAATTTTTTCTTATTGATTTTTATGAATTTTTAATGTATTATGGATGAGTCCTTTTTTAGAAATGTGACTTGCAAATGTCTTTTCCCAATCAGTGGCTTGTCTTTTTTGTTCTTTCCCCAGTGTCTTTTGATGAAAAAAAGATTGACTTTTAAAAGTTCAATTTATTAATCTTTTATGTTTAGTACTTCTTGCTTCTTGTATCCTGTTTAAGAACTCTTTGCTATCCCAAACTTGTGAAGATGTTCTCCTGTTTTCTTCTAGCAGATTGTTTTAGATTTCCTATATAAGCCTATGTAAAATTTCTAATTTTGTGTGCGATATGAGGTGAGGATCATTTTTTTCCCCAGATGGCTGTCAGGTTCTCTACTCTAACCTTGAGTTGGATATTCAAGGTCATAAGCTTTTTTTTACTTGTAAGCTCTCCAGTACATCTGTAAAAGTCATACCACCCCACAATCTTTGTAAAAACTGTGGTTATCATTGTAGTCAAGTACAGCCACCCCATTTAATCACCTAAAGTCTTTCCCTCCACAGACACGCTCCATCCCATGCTAGTACCAATAATAATTGGAGTAATTGTGATGCCTTTGCTTGCTATGGCTTGCCACTGTCACAATATCTATAAGTATGAGGTAATCTGTGCGTTCCTTAGACATGTGAGCAGCTCAGTCCCAGAATCCCACCTTGATATTCTGTTTTCTAGGGAAATTTCTGGTAAAAATTCTATATCAGTAGTGATCCTGGCAGGAAACATCATTCCACTCAGGGGTTTCACGTGAAGAACACTTATAAGGGGACGATTTGCAGAGGGGCAGACAAAGTTAAAAGAACCAACAAGGAGGGGCCGCCCTGTGGCCGAGTGGTTAAGTTCACGCGTTCCACTGCGGCGGCCCAGGGTTCAGATCCTGGGCGTGGACATGGCACGGCTCGTCAGGCCACGTTGAGGTGGTGTCCCATATGCCACAACTAGAAGGACCTGCAACTAAGATATACAACTATGTACCAGGGGGGATTTGGGGAGATAAAGCATAAAAAAAAAAAGAAAAGAGAAAAAAAAAAGAACCAACAAGGATATTAAAATATCCGGAGCAAGGGAAGAAAGCCGTTACAGTGCCTTTGATTAAAGGGGTAAGGCAAATAAATAGATAATAGATAGATAGATCTACAGATAGATAGATAGGTAGGTAGGTAGATAGATAGATACACAGACAGATAGGCAGACTTCTCTCTCCTTCCCTCGTTCTTATCTCCTGCTAGTGCCTTTCACTGGCCAAACCCAATCAGATGCCAGCTGGAAACAGAGCACAAGTATTGCAGTTCACAGGGGTCAGTTTTCCAGTGCACCAAACAGAAAAAAGAAAGTCTGAGAATGGATCTGGAGGAATGAGCAAATCGAGAATAAACAGCACATATTGAGAAATGAAAATCAAAATAGACTAAGCAAGATTACTTTGGAAACAGTAAAAATAACACCTAAGAAAACTAAATTGTCAATATAAATGATAAACTATTACAAATTGTAAACTATGGAAACACATCCAGATTACAGAATGAATAAATAAGTAGAAAGAATCTAAAGTGATAAATACAGATGCTGAAAATTGAGAAACTCCAAGTTGGAGGAATTTCCAGTTGAACAGAGGCATTGGCTCGCTTTCTCTATTTTGCCAACACTTCCTGGTACATAGTAGCCCTCTGATGTGAATGGATGAATGGATAGATACTGGAATAGGAGGAACAAAGGAAATCAAATTGATAATAAGACACTAATTTTTTAAACTGAAAGCAAAACAAGCCAATAATAATAGCAAAAATACTGTTCTGAATTATTTGAAATAGAAAATGTTAACTTTAAAGGCACAAAAATCGAATCAGCCATGCATTTTCCAGCTGCAACAATGAACATCACATCTTCTTCTACAGACCTTCAGGGAAGAATAGTATTACCTGAGAATTTGGAAACAACTTATCTAGTAATTCTTATGCAAAGCCAACACAAGAATGTTGTAAACACTGTATTTCGTTAAATCCGAGACTCACTGGTTGTAAGATGCTATTAACACACAGAATAGCTCTTCCAATTAAACTTAACACAGCGTTTTAAGGGATTACTGTGACATTGTTTCCCTCGCCTCCAGTTGCACTGCCTGGGGTGTGCTAAGGCAGTCATTTTGCGTGTATCTCAGCAGTAAAACTTACGCCATTTCATCTGCTTGTGAGTTTCTCCCTTTCTTAGGTCCTATAAAATACTTAGTGGTTGTTCTACAAGAAAATGGGGAATCACAGTAACTCTTCCAGTGACCTTTGCTTTATTGATAAATACATGCCCTGCTTTGTTTTCCTTTCTTGCTGCACCCACAGTAACTTTGTTTCGATGTCAAATTGTAATGTCGTATTTTTTAAGTCAGTTTAAGCAGCAGTAAAACTCAACGTGTGTTACTCCAGTGATTCAGGAAACTCAAAAGTGATGATAATGTAAAGAGCTGAGACAAAGTGTACGCGTGAGTAGTCAGTTGACCACTATGGCATCAGTGCCACCTGGTGGACACCGTAAGACATATCAATTATAAAATACATTTCAATTTCCAAGGCGTTAAAAAGTGAAAAAAAAGTGTTTATAGATGAAATATGCCATTGGATGTTAGCAATTGTAATGATTAGTTTTGTGTGTCAACTTGACTGGGCCAAGGGATGCCCAGACCAAATGCTGTTTCTGTGTGTGTCTGTGAGGGCGTTTCTGGATAAGTTTAGCGTTTGAATCAGTGGACCCAGTAAAGTAGACTGCCCTCCCTGATTTGGGCGGGCATCATCCAGTCCATTAAGCGCCTAAATAGAACAAAAAGGTGGAGGAAAGAGGGGTTCACCCCTATTGCTGCCTGTCTGCCTGCTGAACTGGGACATCGGTCTTCTCCTGCCCTTGGATTGGGACTTGCACCCGTGACCCCCCAATTCTCAGGCCTTTAGCCTCCAACTGAGAGTTTCACCATCGGCTCCCCTGATTCTTGGGCCTTTGGTTCTCTAGCTTACAGACAGCAGATCATAGAAGTTCTCAGCATCCGTAATTGTATGGGCTAATTCCTCATGATAAATCTCTCTGTATGTATTTCTCTTATTGGCTCGTGCAGGGTGATGGTGGTGGAAGTGGTGAGAAGTGGTTGGGTTCTATAGATATTTGGAGACCAGAGTCAATAGGATTTGCTGATGGATTAGATGTGTGAGAGGAAGAGAGGAATTAAGAACCACACCAAGGTTTTTGGGCTGAGCAGCAGGAATCATGCAGCTGCCCTTGCTGGAGATGAGGAGGGCTGAGGATGGAGGTTTGTGTGTGGACTACGAGTCTGGTTTGGGATGAGTTGAACTTGAGATGCCCGACGGACATGGCTCAGGAGCTGTCAGTAGGCAGGTATGTAAGTCAGGAGTTTAGGGAAGAGAATAAGATGGGAGGTTTAAATATGGGAATCATCCACATAAAGATGGATTTAAAATCCTAAAACTGGGCAGGATCTCCAGAGACAGAGAAGAGACCTAAGAATTGAGTGCTGGGGCGCTCCAAACGTTTAAGGGATCAAGGACAGGCGAATGGAGCAGGAGAGACTGGCTGAGCTAGGGAGGGTTGTTGGGGAGGGGTGTGGAAATCAGCCTGTCTCATCCCAGGACCCGAGCTTTCGCTGTGGCTCCATGCAGGAGGCGGCTCTCTCTTCCTCTGGATTGGTGTCTGTTGGCTGAATGAATGCTGCTGTAGTACCAGATTCCTGCCAGGGCCTCTCCACGTGTTGTCCTAAGGCTCGAGAGAAACACAGCACGCCAAATTCGGTTCCACGTGTTAATCCTAGCATAGCTAATGACCCAATGGTCTCCATTGATAATTCCCCTTCCCCTCCTGAGGGTTGTTTTCTCCCTGCCTCCCGCTTATTCAGGAATCTGATTTCCTGGTATTAGGAAAAGAAACCACTGTGAGGTGGAGCTAACCTCTTTTCCTCTAGATCTCTTAAACAGCCCCTCCCTCTGTTTTTCACCTACTTCAGTGAGCCGATTCTATAACCAAACGGAGCCTAGAAAAGACTTTCCAGGGATGTAACAAAGACTAACCTGTATTTTACTAATTCCGGAGTCTCAGAGCCCTACTCCCGCGTGTTAGTTTAATTGAGGGAGTTTTTACAAGGTAGAGTATTGAGTTCCCTAGTTGTACCACATCAATATTAAGAGACTTCTGTTTCTTTCCTGATAGGGTTAGAACAATATAGTAAAATCGGATCCATTTCTGATAAAATTTTCACATTATACTATGACCACATGGGATTCATACATAAACTGACTCCAGACCGTTTTGAAGCTGGTGGGTCACTCGCGGCCTTTGGAAATTTTAGAGGTATTTTTGGCCAGGTCAGTGATCTAAGGCGTTGAAACAGTGTGCCTTGTTTTAAGAATAGATGCCGCAAGGGAGACTGGATTGGTGGTTACCATGGGGGAAGCGGGGTGGGGAGGGCAAAAGGGGTGATTAGGCTCCCCTGGGAGGGGATGCACTATAATTCGTTTTTGGGTGGTGAACATGATGTAATCTACACAGAATTGGGAATATATTATAATGTACCTCCGAAAGCTTTATAAGGTTATAATCCAATGTTACTGCAATTAAAAATAAATAAATAAATAAGAATAGATGCCACATTCTATACACAGAATAATGGGAAAATGGGGAAGTTCTCTCCCTGGGACAGACTCTTATCAACGTACTTTGCTCTGTTTAACTAAAAGAAAAGCCTCCATATACCAGGGAACATCTCTAAAATCTTCTCTCAAGTCGCATACAGGGTTATAGAAATTTAACGCAACCTAGGATATCTTCACACGAATATCTTCACAGAAAACGCCACCACATAGTCTAAGCTGGATGCATTACTCCCAAGCCAGGCTCTTCCTGGGCTTCATTCTCTACCTCCCAAGCCTGACCTTGAAGAAACTTGAGTTCTATTTTCCCACTGGTTTACGTTTCTTCTTTATCTTGACCCTGCCCTCCGTTTCTTCCTCTCCTAATGCTCACATAGGAAGGAGTTGTTATCATTTTTCACAGATGACACTACATACAGATTTTTCTAGTAATTATAATGCATGCTGTGCCACTTGTGAAGGTATATATGCCTAAGAACTCATCACTGGGCACACTGTCGTGAAAATGAACTCTCTTCAATATATCAACAAAGAATCAAACAGATTTTTTAACTGAGATTTAATAAAAATGAGCCCTTTGGGCCTAAAGGAAACAGAATAAAGCACAGCCCTAGTGTTGACTGATTGTTCCAAATCACCAGGCTAAGACTGCAGTTGAGAGGGTGGTGTAGACAGTGAGGTGGGAACGTCCTTGTAACAATAAGATGCCGCCACATGACTCCCTGTGTATTTGCCAGTCTGTGGTGTAGGCTCCACATAGACACAAACCAAATGACATGAGTGGGACGGTGGAACTAACCAAGAAATAGTTAACTCAGTTTTTCACTAACTCCACAATATGTACAAAATGTCCTGGTTCTCTTGTGAGAAAGTTTAAATTATTAAAATAAAAAACCAGTGGGGTTTTTATTCTCAGGACAAATTCAAGGAACTCACACTCACGATTACCCCTCCAGCCCCCAAGCAAAGTGTGCATGCATCCTCTTGGGATCCAAATAATCACTAGCCTTTATTTGGCTCTGAGGATGTGCTGGGCGCTGTGGGAGCTCCTAATCTTTATAACTATTTATCCTCATTTTGCTGATGAGGGAAGTGAGGCACAGCGAGGCTAAATGACTTACCCCAGATTACATCCCCCGCTGGTTAGTTGCTGGCATCAGGCACCTGTCCAGACCGCAGGTTCCAGGGCCTGTGCTTTCGTCCCTACATCACCCTTCAGTGAACTTGCACACACTTTCCATGGGATATTCTTGCCACTTCCCGGCTAGAATGTCATACAGAATTCTAAAGCATTTGCAGCCTTTTCAGAGTCCTTAAGCCATCTGTTCAGTCCCACATTTATTCTCCTTGCATCTGTGTTCCACTCTCTCCCCTTCTCAGTGGGTTCCCAATTTAACAGACTAAAAGGCATGACAGAAAATGGGTCTCGAAAGCACCTTTTGATGGCTGCGCCCCACCCAGTCTGCACTACCACCCATCATCATGTCACAGCAACAAGGTCAACACCAATATGCCCTTTGGTGCTGGTCCCCACCTCTCTTCTCACCCTTAAAAGTTCCCAAAGCTGGAAAGGATCAGGATCGGAGAAGGGTGTGTTGAAAAGAAGACCTGTGGGTCAGAAATCCGGGCCAAAGATGCCCGTGTTGACTGTGAGGGAAAGCCTTGCGAACCGGAGGAAAGGAGAGGGTGCATGCCTCCGGAGCTGGGAGCTCAGTGGCTGTGCAGTCACTAGCATGAGACCGGGAGCAGGAGCTTTCAGTGGAGAGCAGTACGCTGCAGCCCCTTTCTTAAGTATAACTCCAAGAACCATGTTCTAAAATCTGCACCTCCGGATGCCTCCCACACACACGCTGGAAGACACTCCAGTCTCCACACGCCCTTAATCTCTGCCTTCTACAACGCCACAGGAGTCTTAAATGGAATCTTACTGCTCAGCATCCCTTTTCCTCCTCAACAGAAAAATGCATTTTCCCTTGCACCCACGTGGACATTCAAACAGAACATGTTGAACTATTACTCCTATTGATAAGCAAAACACTGTTGTTTCAATGTGAAGTGGAAACAGATCTGATATATGCCTTTTGTCATAGCTGAAATATAAAATAGTTTAAGTACGATATTTTCTTTTTCCCTATTCCAGGCTCCTGATATGGGCTTTGAGACTGCCCTTGCTCCACAGCATATCACCTTAAATGAAATGATCTTTTATGCGTATGTACCCGCTAATGAGCCTAAGGACAGTATACACACCAAGCAATTCAACAACATTCACTTTGGAAAAGAGATCCACTCCAGGTGGTTACTATCTGCCTCCCGTTTGTTTAGATTGTGCACTGGTTTCTAGATTCTAAATTTTGAGCCTACGTTTTGGGTAATTTTGGGGCTCAAATACAGTAAGTCTTTTCTTGATTCCTCATAAGGTCAAATAACATTTATAGCCTACAAGGTGCCTTGCATGATGCCCCAATTTTGGAAACATGGGCCAGTTACATCAGCACCAACAGGCCAAGCTATAGAAATGTATGTTTGTCATCTTGAGTATCAAAGATGTTCTGGGCTACACTGGGTACTGTCTATCCACAGAGTTCATGCACATGGCAATTCTTGTTTATCCCAAAGACAAACACCTCTAACACCGTGGAGGCCATCTTGCATGATATTCTGCATGGCAGGGTATGCAGAATTCCCAGGAATGCTTACTTCTAAGATATCGGCAAAAGCCAATGACCCTTAAAGCTTTATGATCTTTAGGGCCTAAAACATCTCTTTGAAGGACAATATGAAGTCTACACCCTGCTCCCCGAATCTAACAGCCAGAAAGGGCACCATTTCAGATTACCAGAAGCTCACCCTACTGCAAATGTGGTGGGCCTTATTCCACCAGGTTGAAATCTGTATATCGTATGTTTTGGGCTGTCGATACATATCTTGTCCCATAGCCAACAACTCCACGCACCATGGGGCGCTCACTGGGAGGTGGAGAGGAAGACTGGGATCAGACATAATATCACAAAGTCCAAAGTCAGCGGCAGGTCAAAGGCAGATATCTAGGTTGTCAGGGGGTGAAGCAGGGTGAGCCCTTCAGTCGTCTCTTCCACAATAGTTATTTAACACCTACTACACACAGGGCACTATGGTAGGTGCTGGTGGGGCGGTGAAGAAGACAGTCAAGCCCATGCACTCCATGACCTTGCACATGGTTATGTCATTACAGTTGACGTAAGTCTACACCAGAGGAGTGTATAGCATTGACAGAGTATTTTCCTGGGGGTTGAGCCTTCGTTTGGAGGATCTTGGAAGGTTTCTCAGAGGAAGGGATGTTTAAGATGTGATTGGAAGAATGAGGATGAAGGGAGGGGGTTGTGGGGGGAAGGTTCCAGACTAGGGGAACAGTGTGGGAAAGGCCCCCAGGCCGAAAGGAGCAGGATGTGTGTTTGAGAAAACCAGAGTGACTTCAGTGTCGTGAACAAAGGAGAAAAGTCTTTGAGCGAGTGGAGACAGGTCAGGGAGGGCCATTTCAGTACCAGTAAGAAATTTGGACGTTATTCCAAGAAAGGAGGAAGCATTGAAGACTTTTAATTAGATCAATAACTGGATTGATTTGTGTGTAATTTTACTGAACAAGCTGGAGAGCTAACTTTATTTTCCTCCTACTGTCTCTTCAAATCCCTTCTGTGGACTTATTCCTCTCTACCCCCAGAGGATTATCAGCAAGTCCCGTAGCTTTTCTCTTAGAGAGTGACTAAACCTTTCCTTGGTTTAAAAAAGTTGAAGTCAGTCTAATGATCACATGACTCCATTCCTGTCCAGTGTTTTAAAAAAACTTCAAACTCTTCCCCAATTTAAATTTATTTCCCAGCCCGTTTGGGCCTGATCCCGACCAGGGAGCCTGGAGGGTGGCGAGGTGGAGTATTTCTCATCCTTATGATTTTCTGGTTCATTTCCTCCTTCCTACATAGCTATGGTTCCCAGCTCTTCCAGAGTTTGGATGAAAGAAGGGAGGTGAGATAAAGGGACGAGAAGTCCTCCTCATGGAGACCTCTGATGGGGTCCTTCACAGGGGGCCAGGCCACTCCTCCAGCTGGTGACAACGAGGCCCATCACCTCTGGTCTCTGGAATCGTGTCGCTCTGTTGCAACCCTTCACCCTCTGGCAGTCCTTCTGAGTGTCTTTCCTTTCCTTTTCTTTCCTGCCTCTCCCCGACCCCTAACACTATGCCAGTCCCCTAAAGATGAGCATTGCCTTGAATTTCGTGTTAACATTTAAAATTTTTTTCTTTATAGCTTTAACATGTGCATATGTATCAAAACATATTCTTGAGTTTTGCCAAATGTATTATTTAGCATGTATACTTTCTTCTGTGACTTGCCTTTTTCGTACAACATGATGCCTTTTAAATTACGCCATATGCTTTTAAAATTACTCCATATTGATGTCTCTATCTGTAGTTCACTCACATGAATATGCCACAATTTATTTAGTTATTCTCCTGTGTTGTCTTGTAGTAGTTTTAAGCTTTTGCTTTTCATTTTTAAGTTTTTAATCTATCTAGAATTGATGTTGTGTGTAGTATGAAGTGGGAATCTGATTTTTTTCTATCTTTTTTTTTCCTAAGCTTTTTCATGAGGAAGATTGGCCCTGAGCTAACGTCTGTTGCCAATCTTCCTCTTTTTTTTTTTTTCTCCCCAAAGCCCCAGTACATAGTTGTAGATCCTAGTTGTAGGTCATTGTAGTTCTTCTATGTGGGACGCCACCACAGCATGGCTTGATGAGCAGTGTGTAGGTCCAAGGCTGGGATCCAAACCAGCAAACCCCAGGCCACCAAAGCGGAGCACATGAACTTAACCACTCTACCACGGGGCAGGGCCTTCTTTTTTTTATATGTATAGATAACCGATAGCCCGTCCCAGTCCCTCCTTTCCCCACTGATCTTCAGTGTCTCATCATACGTCTTGGTTCTGTATATGCAATGGTCTGTTTCTGGTCTCTCTGCTATTTCATTGTAGTATTTGTCTTGCCCTTATCACGCTGACTAAATTTCTCTAGCTATAAAACTCATGTGAATAGCACCCCCTCCTGGTTTTTCTTGGCCTTTGTTTTTGCATCGAAATGGTAGGTTCAGCTTATCAAGTTCTATTAAGAAAAAAAACCCACAACAACCTGTTAATAGAAATTACCTCTTGCAGCCAAATTCTGCCTTATATCTGCAGTTAGATCTTGGGTGGAAATTTCTTCCTCTTCTCCTAGCAGTAAGATAACTCTACTTTGTTCTCTTAGAATTTTAGGCCGAGACAACTTCCTGACCCTCCTTAAGGGGTCAAGAGTTGTCATTTTATCCTTCTCTTGTCTGTAATGTGTCTTTGCCTGTGCCCCATGGATGAGTGGCGCTGCTTTCTTTCTCCCAGGAGCTTAAAGCTCTTGTTTCATAAGAGAGAAAGGTGAAGGAGGGAGGGGGCCCAGCTTCAGTGCCAGCCGCCCCAACCCCAAATACTCCTCCCCAGTCACTGATCACCTCTTTTGAGGCCTGTGTACAAAGGCGTTAAATGGCCAACCTCCTGGAGCTTGTGGCTTTTGCTTCCTATGAAAGAAGGTTCAGGGAAGCGGATGGTGCCTCATGCCTGTTTCCTCCCATCCTCCCATCCTCCTTGCTGCCTGCACCACCAGCAGGGGCTCTCTCTGGCCTGCTGACCTGCCCCAATCTTTCTCATGAGCCTCTGGAGAAGCCTGTGGGAAGAAACTTGCAAGCGAGTGCAGATGCCCCTTTGAAACATGCCTCAACATTCCAGACTCACATTCTTGGCCTTGGCAGTTTTTTACAATTCAGGTAATTCTTGCTTGCTTGTGTTGGGGCCAGCACTGTGTTTCTCCCTCCTATGCTCTTCCATAAGTGAGACTGATCTAGTGCTCACACTTTCCTTGCAACGGCTTGTTCCCCTGGATTTCAGGTTAGTTGGTTGTCTTGTAACCTTAGTTCTCTGATGAGGTTAAGGAAAGTGATGACCTTTGTGTTATCTGTTTTGTTTTTTGTTGCATCTTTCTACTTTGAAAGCAAAATTGGAAGTCTTGTAATTGACTTTGCACAGCAATCTTAAATTTTCAAATTTGCTAAATTCTTTTTGTAAATTCCAGTGCTTTTTCTATATATTCTTTTGGGTTTTTCAAGTAGAGGTATTTTTCTTTCTTTCTTTTTTTGCTGAGGAAGATTATCTCTGAGCTAACATCTGTTGCCAATCTCCCTCCTTTTTTGCTTGAGGAAGATTCACCCTGAGCTAACATCTGTGCCAATCTACCTCCACTTTATATGTGGGTCACCATCACAGCATGGCTGACAAGTGGTATATATCTGCACTAGGGATCCAAACCCATGAACCCAGGCCGCCAAAGTGGAGCACACTGAACTTAACTACAATGCCAGGGGGCTGGCCTGAGGTATTTTTCTGAGTCAATAATCACATTACCCGCAAATAATTTGTTTTGTTTCATTCTTAACATTTCTTAGCATTTTACACCTTTTTCATGCTACAGCGTCTAGGCCCTCGTTTAAGAGAAATGAAGATAATGGGTGTCTTAGTCTGTTTGAGCTGCTATAACAAATTACTACAGACTGAGCGGCTTATAAACTATAGAAATACATTTCTCCCAGTTCTGGAGATGGAAATCCAAGATCAGGTGCCAGCATGGTCGTGTTCTGGTGAAGGCGCTCTTCTGGGCTGCAGATTGCCAGCTGCTGCTTGGGTCCTCACATGTGGAAGGGGACAAGGATCTCTCTGGAGCCTCTTTCATAAGGGCACTAATCCCATTCATGAGAGCTCCACCCTCATGACAGAAATCGCCTACTGGAAGCTCCACCTAATGCCATCACCTTGGGCATTAGGTCATAACGCTTGAATTTGAGGAGGACACACACATTCAGACTATTCAGACCACAGACTATTCCTGTTGTTCTGACTTTGTTGTTTCTTTTTTTGTTGAGGTTAGCCCCGAACTAACATCTGCTGCCAACCCTCCTCTTTTTGTTGAGGAAGACTGGCCCTGAGCTCACATCTGTGCCCATCTTCCTCTACTTTATATGTGGGATGCCTGCCACAGCATGGCTTGACAAGTAGTGTGTAGGTCCGCACCTGGGATTCGAACCAGCAAACCCTGGGCCGCCAAAGCGGAACGTGCGCACTTAACTGCTGTGCCACCGGGCCGGCCCCTAGTTCCTGACTTTTAAAAGAATGTTTTAAATATTTCACCATCACATATTATCCTTTCTATAGTTTTTTAAAATCTTTTTTCATTTATCGGTTTAT